AAAAAATACTGGAAGCTAGAAGCAGACTGGGCACCCGGGTATTTTTATACTTAAAAACAAACAAGCAAACAAACAGTGGGGGTGTAACTCAGTGGCAGAGAGCCTACCTGACAAAGCACGAAGCCCTGGGTTTAGTCCACAGCACCAAAAAAAAAAAAAGAAAAACAAACAACTTAGGAAACAGTGTCTAGTAATCAGAAGAAAACAAAAAAACAACTGTATAACATGGAATTGTGTATTGACAATAATTCATCAAGGTAAAGAGAAAAACACATAGAAAAAAGACTAGAAGGAAATATGCCAGATGTGGACAAAACACCCAGATGTGGGGTTTTTTTTTTTCCTGTGTTTCTCCATCCTTTCAAGTACTTTGCAATTTTTTACAATGAACATGTAATTATTAAGTGGAAGAAAGAGAAAAGTTTTCACGATTGTCCTCTAAAGCAATCATCTCACCGCCTTATGCCTTGTTCTTTCCTCCCAGCAATAAAACTGTGAAAAGCTGTCCTGACCGGGCGATTCTGTACGTCTCTTCCGTTTACTACCGGATCCTCTACCCTCCACCAAACCGGGATCCCTGGAGGACAGCAGCGACCTCTCAGTTGCCCAATCCAGTGGCTTCTCCTTTCCTTGCTAGAACTCACGGCGCTGTCTGGTGTTGCTAGCATCATCTCCTCCTGGAAACCCCTGCCTCCTCTGTGGGCCTCTCTGTTCAGCGCCCAACTTTTCAAGCGCTTGTGCTTGGTGTCTGTGGGCTCCTCAAGTTTTGGTGCTCCCCAGATTGTGGCCTCCGGTCCTTCCCTTTCTGCAGTCTCCCTCAGCGACCCCATCCCCTCTCGGCTGTTGCGGTCCATCTACACAGCAGTCCCACAGTCCAGTCAATCCGCTTTCCTCTAGACACCATCTGGATGTCCCCACAGCACCCAGACCCAACAAGCCCAAGCGGAGCCATCGCTCCTGCTTCCCTCAGTCCCCAAACTGCCAACCCATTGCTTCCTCCCAGCTTAAGACACCTCCCCACTGATGGGCTCTGCGTGCAGCCCTCCCTGTCCCCTGGCTGGAAGATGACAGCAGTCCCTCCACAGCTTTCTTCTCTGCTTTACCTCCTCACCAGTCCGTATCTCTTCTGTCCTTCCTTTTATTTTTTTGAGACAATCTATTGCTGTGTAGCCTAGGCTGGCCTCAAATTCACCTTTTTTTTTTTTTTTTTTTGCCTCAGTCCCCCAAGTGCTGGGATTACAGGTGTACCACTAGGTTTGGCTTCTGGTCCATATTTTCTTAAAATTTTTCCAATCGTTGGCTGGGCATCATGGTGCATGCCTGTAATCCTTGCACTTGGGAGGCTCAGGCAGTGGGATTGCAGAGAGTTTGAGGCCAGCCTGGGCTACATAGTGAGTTCAAGACAGCTGGAACTACATAGTGAGACTCTGTCTCAAAAGAGCTCCCACCAAAAAAAAAAAAAAAAAAAAGCCAGGTGTGGTGGCGCATGCCTGTAATCTCAGCACTCAGGAGGCTAAGGTCGGCAGATTGCTGGGAGTTTGAGGCCAGCTTGAGACCCTATCTCAAAACGAAAGCAAACTGAACCAACCAACCAAACAAAAACCTTTTTAAAATATTACTTGCCCCAGGGTCTTTAGAATGGTAACATTTTCGGGGAGGTAGATGAGATGTGAGCAACAGAAGTTTCTGCAGTGGTGTGGGGGTGGGCATTAGCAGAACCTGTAGAGAAGACTTCAAAACTTCCCTTGAGGTAGTGCATACCTATAATTCCAGCACTTGGGAGGCTGAGGTAGGAGGATCTTTGCGAGTTTGAGATCAGCCAGGGCTACAAAGTGAGTTTAAGGCCAGCCTGAACTGCATAGCGAGACCCTTTCTCAAAAAGACAAGAAACAAAAAAAACAAAAACAAAACCTCCCTTGAGGGATTGGGGGGGTGGGATATAGCTCAGAGGTAGAGTATATGCATACTCTTCGTGGGGAACTGGGTTCAAATCTCCAGCGCTGAAAACAAGGAAAACAAGAAACACCCTTGAATCCCTAGCTCTTTCCTCGAGATACTTTTTTTTTTAATTTTGAGGGGGGTACCAGGAATCAAACTCAGGAATTTGCGCTTGCCAGACAAGTGCTGCACCACTGAGCTACATCCCCAGCCCCTCAAGATACTTTCTTATTTCCTAGTTCTACTCCTTGGCACATATTGTTCGTTTATAGTATTGGAGAAGGAACCTAGGGACTCTTACTGAGGTACATCCCCAGTCGTTTCAATTTTGGAGCGGGGAGTTGAGACAGGGTCTTGCTATGTAGTTCAAGCTGGCCTTGAACTCACTATGTAGCTCACGGTGGCCTCAAACTCACAGCGATCCTCCTGCCTCAACTGGTATTACAGACATTCAACCACAACATCTGGCTGGCCATGAATTTTCAATCCTCCCGCCTTCAGCCTCTTGAGCAGTTGCGATTACAGATGTGTACCACTGTCGCGCCTTTTTTTGTTTTGTTTTGTTTTTTGTTTTTGTTTTTTTCCAGTACCGGGAATCGAACTCACGACCTTGCACTTGCCAGGCAGGCGCTGTGCTGCTGAGCTAAATCCCCAGCCCCTGCGACTTTGTTCTTTCTGGAAGCTCTCCTCCAGTATTTGATGAACTCCTAGTCATCCTCTGAGACCTGGCTGAAATGCTCCCTCCCTTGTAAAGCCTTTCGGGAACCCTCCAGGGAGAGTCCTGTGCACTTTGTCAGTGGCTTGTTTGTCTCTAGAACACCTGTAACACTGTACTGCCTATGTCTGTTTCCAATTTTGTATCCAAAGAAGGTCGATCAAGCACTCTGGGAAGCAGAGACAGGGTTTTAGTGAATGCTCAGTGAGTAGTGTCTAGTCAAATGACAGCTATTCGCAGGAAAGGTGAGTTCACAAAGGTCAAGAGTCCAATCATAACCAGGCCCCTTTATATTCAGAACCATCAAAGGCGGAAATCCTTAATCATAAGAACAGACCTGGGGCTGGGGATTTAGCTCAGCGGCACAGCGCCTGCCTGGCAAGCGCAAGGTCGTGAGTTCGATCCCCCGTATGGGATGGAAACAAAACAAAACAAAACAACAGACCTAACATGGGTCCTGAGTCTTCTGTTAAGATCCTCCTAACAGCCTCATGTAGTGAGCATAGCGGGATACTCATCTCTATTTTACTGACAAGGAAATAAGGTTTAAGGCTAACGCCAAGTGATAATTCAGGTTGTTTCAGCCCTAAATCTAATTATATTGTTTGGCTTCTGTTCCCTTTTTTGATGGGGTCTTGTTACATAGGTGAGGCTGGCCTCAAACTTGTAATCCTCCTGTCTCTGCCTGCTGAGTACTGGGAGTGCTAGGATCACAGGCACACCCCCTCCCCCAGCCAGCTGAGAACGTCTGTGTATTTATTAGTTACTATTACTATTCCTGGTCCTAGGAATTTTCCTAAGCACATTTCATGTATCGTTGATTTGGACACGCACATTATGCCTTTTGGGAAGCAGAGGCTTAGAATCTTGAGGACACTGCTCTGGAGTCGCCGAAGTTTCATAAGCAAAGGCAACACTTGAATCCAGACCCTCACAAGCAGGGAAGCCTGGGCAAACAGGCACGGGTGAGAGGCTGGAAGGCGCTTGCTAAAGGACCCGTGACCAGTTATCGATCTACGCTCAGCCATTTCTTCTGATTCCAAATTGATAACTGCATGGTAACTTGAATCGAAGATCTGATAAACTGTAAGTTTCAACTACAGTTGGGGAAGTAAAAACGGAGCGTCCTCCAGAGAAGTCGAGAAACCTGGCTCGGTCCCCGCTTGCGCCTGAGATAATTTTTTAATGTGGGCCTTATTTTCCTCATCTATAAAATGGGGGAAGAAGAGTTACTGGGGTCCCTAGCGACCTTCCCAGCGATGCCTTTCAAGGACCGAAGACCTCTGCTCGCAAAAGGAACAAGTCCTCCGGCTGAGGTGTAGCCTCCACGGGACCGTCAAATAGGGACGCGTTCCCTTTAAGGTGCCAGCTCGCCGGCAGCGGCGGCCGGAAGTGTTGAAGCCCGGCCTGGCGGCGGCGGTGGAGGTTGCAGCCGTGGCGGCCTCTGCGCATGCTCCGTCGCCCGCCCGCC